ACAAGGAAGCACAAAGAAAAAAGGGAGGTCATTAAGTATGATATGATAATCTAGAAAAGAAACTCTGAGAGAACAAAAGTATATAAACTACACGAGATAGGCAGTGGGTGACTTTGTTAGCTCATGATATGGCTGAAAGGCAAATAGCAGTCAGCAGTCTTAATCCTGTGCTATTTGTCTTTCAGCCATATCATCAGCTATGATGTGACATGTACTAAGAGGTCATCTTGTTCTGCAGAACATTACTTCCCCTTCTACATACAAAGTGATCAGTCGGCATATTTCTAGAGAGCATTGTGCAAGATTATGGCTTTAAATAAGGCTGGCAGAATACTGTTGTCTCCCTAAAATCTGGAAATGATTATCTCTTGCTCATATCCCTCATTTTGATTACTACAATATACTGTATATATTAATAACTTTTGGTTAAAGTAGGAAAGTGTTAAGATGTGTATCTACATTCAAAATTGAAAATTTAATATATTGCAGCTGATCAGCCCTTAGATGTAGTAACTGAATATATTTTCTTTTGAAGGTTTTTTTTTTCCCTTTTACTTTCACCTGGAGATCTTGCAAGCAACACACTTCCTGTCCCAGTGTGTCCCCCAGGAAGGTGCCGCCCTAGGCAAACGCCTACTTTGCCTTGCGGTAAATACGCCCCTGGTGACAGCGTTGATTTACTGTATTGTATCTCTGGTGGAGGAGCGTTGTCAGACTAGGTTGTGCTTCTGATACGGACTACAAACATCTTTCCCTCTCCTCATCTACATTAAATAGGGAGGGGGGTTATTCAATTCAGAGATGACAGCTGGGGAAGCTGATAACATTGTTTAAAATTCCAGTTCAGTACACAGGAAGCGACAAGGACTCTTGATCTCTATCAGAACTAACAGATATTTGTATGTACTTGCCTGGTGTAGCACCCTGTAGGCAGGAGTGCTATTAAATGTAGTATTCTCAGATTGTAAGCAGTCTGATGCTGATTTGTAGTCTATGTTCATTTGGTTTTCCCTAATCAATCTGTCATTGTTTGCACCTGTCTGCTGCTGGGTGTACCCTGGCCACAGAGCAGAGCAGCCAATGAGAGATTGCTATGGAGTCTACATCTGCCTGGATGATCCTAACCCTCAACCTCTCTTTCTCCCGGAATTTCATCAATTAAAGTTCTCAGCATCATATCTACAGTCTAGACATCGCTTTAATTGGCCACCATAGAGGGCTGCAAGTGCTAATGGGCGAAGTAAGTGAAAATATCTCTAGACAAGAAGATTGTTGAGTTGCGGTAACCCATAGCAACCGACCCTAAGATCAAGGTATTCGCGCCATCTCAAGGTGTGCTGTGTATTTCTTATTGAGGTGCATCACAGAGGAAATGCAGGGAGACTTGCATATTACTGTATGCTGCTCTGTAAGGGGTGCGCTATACTGGTAAAAAAAAAAAAAACTAATACTGCCATCAATTGTAAGGACTGTTAAGCTGCAATATATTACATTTTTGTTCTTGGTTTTGGACATATTTTACCTCTCTGTCTTGACAATGGTCACCAGGACAAATAGAGAGGTTGAGTCTACCTAATGGGGCCACAGACGGCAAAAAAAACTTGAGAGATGATCTAAGCCTTTCCCACTCTGTCCAAAGCTTTTTTTTTTTAAAAGAAAACATTTTACCTTTGCATACACTTTAGCCATTTGGCTGCCACTGACGTAAGGCTTACAGCAGAACAGAACTGGCCAGCTCAGTAAACCTTACATTAGCTGCATTCTCTTCTGCATGAATTTAGAGCCAAAGGGTTCCCTAAACTCTGCTGATTAAAAAATAGCTATGACTAGTGGCTGAGAAGGACCTTTACATTAGAGAATGTGGGAAAAGAAGATCAGGTGGCAGCCTTGAAACTTTGCGAAACAGTTGGCTGATGCAGAAACGCCAAAGAAGCACTCCCTGATCTAGTGCAGTGCGTTTTGACAGGACTTTTGGCATTAAGACCATACTGTACACTTGAGCAATGATCTGTCTAAGGCACGAAGAGATGGTAGAGCCAGAAGCTGGTTACTCTGCACAGGGACCATCAGTAATGACAATTAGAGAGTCAGGCTTTCTAATGGAAGCTATGCCTGAGAGGTAAACCCTCACAGCACATTCTTCATCCAGGCAGTGAAGGAAAATTTCCTTTTGATGTACTGGATTTTGACAGAGAGATGGAAGGACGATATCCTGTTTATGGTGAAGGGCCAACACCACCTTAGGAAGGAAGGAGGCTCTAGGCCTTAAGGCTACCTTGTGTAGAGACCACTTCCCCAGAAGTCCCTTGCAGGCCCATAACTCTCATACAAAATTACCCAAGCATCTGAGATACTTTCTGTCCATAATAGGCCAACAGACGTATCCGTACTTTGGAGGGTGGGTGCATCACCATGCTGAAGAGGACTTCTTTGAATTTTTCTGAGATTTAGGGGCCCAGGTGGTATCCCAAATGAACTGGGCCTTGGGTTTTGGGTCTGGCCTTGGCGGTTGAAACCAGATAGTAATGAAAGGAAGTCTTTTTGGTCTCGAAGGGAAAAGGAGTCTTTTTAGTTTGTGGCTTAGTCTTCTTTTGTCCAGTGACATCCTTTATGAGGTGCCCAAAGATGCACTAAAGAGACATTTACCATCAAAAGGTATGCACAACAAGTGGTTTTTACATTGCTTTTCTACAAATCATCACTTCATCCAAAGATTTCTCCACATATTCACAGAAAGGAGAATTATTCTAGAAACAAGATGGACAGAGGTGACTAAACTGCCTAGTGTAGGACTGAAGGCATAAGCTCTACAAATACAGGATCAGTAAGAATAGCAGTTAGATTCTCAGACATACAGTATGTGTAGTCCAGTCTCCTAAGATTTGACAGACTGACATCATAGCTATGACAGGTTGCCCAGCATGGCAGGGCCTGCTAGAGAAAGCAATGCTTTGGAAAGGGTTTTCAAATGTTTGTTATTGGACTGGTGCATCCCCTAAAAGAATTGGCAGTGTTTTATTAAAGGTGGGATACCACCAGGTCCACAATGGGAACGGTCCACTTCTTTATAAATGCCTCGTCAAGTGGGTTTGGTTTTAAAGCGTTTGAGAGGAGTATATCAGGAGTTTATCACTGTACCAAACAGGTTCCAGAAATGGTGTGTACCTAAAAAGATTTGGGCCTTTCCAGGATCCCAGACTAGTGACAACACTAGTAGAAGCTACAGTGTGTTGTTCTATTTTGATCAATAAGAACCAATATGGTATCTTAAAGCCTGGGAACTATGGCAGCTGCCTGTGGCTCTTCAGGAACATATCCATTAAGTGTTTGTGAGTCTCTTCATAAGATAGAGCCTCAGCAACAGAAGCCGCAGAGGTACAGAGCTAGCTACAGCTGCAGGCATGTCTGACAAAGATTCAGGAGGAGAAGGACTTGAAGCACGCCTACATCTACTATGTTCCAAGTTAGCAATCAAAGTTGCAATTTAGCTCACAAAATAAGGCATAGCTGTGGAGATTACCTCTCTGGATAAGGCAAAGAGGTGGGCCACATCTGACTGAGCTAAAGAAGACTCAGAGAATATTGACTCAAGCAGGGTACAACAATCCAGGATGTCAGTTTTCAGGTCCCTGATAAGGGACATTGCAGGCTGCCCCCAGGTCTGGAAGTGGATCATGAGCTGGAGAGACCTGATGCAGCAGGACTGCTCCCTTTATGCTTGGGATCTGACATGTTGCACTGCTTAACAGAGGCAACTTAATTGAAAACACCAGGTTAAACACATTGGGTACTCACAAACCAGCTGATAGCAGAAGAGGTTTAAAGGGTCACCAGATCACTGTAGGCAGCAGCAAGGACAAATGACGTTCAACCCAGTTTGCCCTTGCTGCTGCCTACAGTGATCATGTTTTTTCAAAAAAGGGCAATGGTGGGAAAAAGCTATCTCACATTGAAAAGGCAGGATGAGCACATAGAGTGTGAATGCAACTCTCCAGTTAATGATGCAGCACTAAATTGTACAGCATGTGCATCCTAGAAACCAATGGAAAAGGGAGGTAATGATGATGCCAAATATTTGTAATAAATGCTTTTCATGCTCAGCGCACACGGCATACTCATTAAAGAGGCTTCTGAGACTGGTCACACCAGTGGCTGTACTATGGCTCTGGATCGTAAAGCACTCTGTGGCTAACTAACACAGTACACAAAGGTCTGGAAAGCGCCACAAGCAGAGCCGAGTACCCAAAGATCACATTCCAAGCAGGCCCCACAATCTTCAGTCCAGTGTAATCCGTGTATGGTCTCTAGAGCTCTTGCTCAGGATACATTGATCCAGATAGCTGAGCCCAGCTAAGCAGCATGTAGATGAAGTCTTCACTGCAGCTAAAAAGGTCATAAGAAATAATAAAAATAAAAATGGTTAAACGTTCCTCATTAGAGAAAAGATGTTCATCCTCCTAGAACAATAGCAAAAGAAACACAAAAACGTAAGCATGATATGAGAGTGAAGGGGTAAACCTGCTGGTAAAACAGCTTTTTTGTTTGCCAGTTCCCAATTCCTTCTGAAGGTGGCACTATAACCCAATTATCTTTGAACATCTGAATACTGTTTCCCTACATGTATTCTAATTGTGTAGTTAGTTAGCAATGTATCCAGAGTTTCTCTTTAATGGAAAAAGTGAAATAATCTCTTGCTGCCATTGCATTCTGTGGACTTTATTCTTATCCTCAACTAGCAAGGGTGTGCAGAACACTTTCAGCTGCTGAGAAAAGGATCAAACCAGAAATGGAGGAGTAAAGCTGGCAATGCACCTTACAACCATCGCATGACTTTTGTTGTAGACTGTTTCTGCACTACAAATGTACTCAGTGTAGATATATTTGATAACTGTTTTATACACAGTAATATGACAACACAAGATAAATCTGATGTGTTTCACAACGTATAATCGAGACAGATACACTGCTTATTAGATTTCTATTTTCTGACAAATACAAACCTCTTTCTACGGGGTCATAGAAATATCCATTATCCCTTAGGCTGCTGAACACAGATGGAATGAGGTCAGCCAAATACTGCTGTGCAAATGCCCTTGACGCCACCTTCTCTGCTGTCTCCTTTTCTTTCAGCAGCATTTCCCTTTGTTGCTTCTTGCGCCGTTCCTAAAGGGAAAATGAGTGTAGCAATTGTTTTGTAAATTACACATTCAAGTTTGTATCTACTACAGTGAACACATGTCCTGATGGTCACTTTAAAATAACAATAATAAAGCTTGTGTACCTTTTCTTCCCGGTGTCTTCTCTCTTGGTCTTCAAGACGCTGTGCCTCAGCAAGTTCAGCATTGCGCAGCTCCTCAAAGGCATGCTGTTGTGCTCTTAAGTTAGCAAGTTCCTCTTCCTCCATTACTTCAAGTAAAGCCTGCTCAATTGTTTTGCCAATCAACACCTCCAGCAGTGGTTTAACCTCCAGATCAAAGTCAAAAAGCTGCAAAAAAGATGAAGGGAGAAGCAATGGTTACTGGTAACTTTTTTCATTATTTTATTTTAGCCTATATACTTTAGTGGTTGGACAAAGTTTATGAACCATAACGAATCATCTTTCTATCAGCATCACCCAAGTACCTTGACCTTATTAGTGAGCACTTAAGGTGTGAAAAACATAACAGTATTTGTGTAATGCTGTTTGTATGCTGCAGTTATTGATTAAATAAACACCCACCTATATTGCAAGATTATTATTATTATTATACAGGATTGATATAGCGCCAACAGTTTGAGCAGCGCTTTACAATATAGGGGAGACATTACAATCACAAAACAAATCAAGACACAATGGTAAAGTGGGAGCTTCTCTTTACCAATGTAAAGTATTCAATGTATTATAAAAAATTGCTGTAATGGGATCAGGCAAGGTTTGAGGACCAGTGTGTCCATTACACACTAGCAAGATGGAACATGTGCTGGGCAGAACATGGGTCAGCAAAATCATGGTACAGTGCATTGTTTCTCATTGGCTTATTTTCATAAGCCAATGAGAAAGCCATTGTTTACATGAACTATAATTTTCTTGATACTGTTTATAGTTTGGGCTGAAGTTTACATAACTGTTTGCTTACAGACTTCTCTTTCACTCTTATTCAGGGCGGATCTACCGGCGGTGCAGCCGTGCGGCTGCCTCAGGGCCCAAGGTTGGGGGTAACTCACTGAGATCCAGTCCCGGAGTCCTGGACCCCCATTGGAGGTGGCATGGCTCTTTACACTTTTAAGTGTTTTTGGCTGCCTTGAGGTCCTCTGCTTGCTGGGAACTTCACGGCAGCCTTCTGGGGAAACACAGCGGCGCTGTTAAGAGCGCCGGCCCGCACTTCTCACAGCTCATCCAGTGGTCCTCACAGCTTCTATACAGGCCCCAACAGATCACCCACCGGCCCCCCCCAGCTCCTCCACTGGCCCGCACAAATGTCCCTGCTGCCTTGGTGCAACCCTCTGCATCTGCCCCTAGTGAGATCATCTGCATCTGCCCCTGCTGAGACCCTTCACATCTGCCCTTGTTGAGATCCACTGCATCTTCCCCTGCTGAGACCCTCCGCATCTGCCCTGGTGAGACCCTCCGCATCTGCCCTTGCCTCTGCTGAGACCCTCCGCATCTGCCCCTGGTGAGATCCTTTGCATCTGCTGGGACCCTCCGCATCTGCCCCTGCTGAGACCCTCCACCCAAGATATCAGACTGGCCCCCCAGATATGTACCAAATTCCTATTTCATACTGTTGCTAATTTCAGCACTATGAACCTAGACAAGTTTTTCATCAATAATTACTTCTCCTTCCAAGATCTGAGTGGCAACGTCAGCTCCTGTCTTTGCTGGAATAAACAGAGGTGTAGCTGGTCTATCCAAAAAGGCATCCGTCTGGCATTCCATATCTTTCTCTTCAACACGGTCACTCAGTTCTTCCAAGTAAAGCTCTGTTTAGGATTGTAACAAAAATTACATGAAGATTGGGAGTAAACAGTTGAAAGAGAAAACCACAGAGGGAATCTATACTTAAGAGAAATATGGTGGCTGCCATTGATGACCTTTTCTTTTGAAAATGCTAGTTTTCTAGTTTCATTCCAATCTTAAACTGTAGATTAGGAGACATGACAACATTATTGTTCTAGGTTAGTTACTCAAAAAGAATTTAATTCAGAGGATCAGAATGGCAACCAGACAATTAACATTTCCAGAAGTAGGACAATACCTGCTTATGAATTTTTCTCAAAGCAGGTTTTACTGAAGTAGAACTGCACTTGCTGACATTTTTTCATTCAATCAACCTCTCCAACAGATTACATTTTTTAAGAATCTATTCATTGCACCTGTCTGCACATCGATGTGTTTCCGGCCTTCCACTGGCTCTGGGGTCCTAAGTCTCAACAGTTCTCTGGCACGTTTCTTTGCCAGTGCTCTCCTACGGGTTTCCTGTGCCCTCTGAAGCTCCACTGGATCTGGTTGAGCTGCCTAAAAGACAATCACACAGTATCAGTGATTTATTTGTGATAAATCCTTACATGATTGCAATAATCTGTCAAATATTATTCTAAAGGTTGTTAAGGTGGCCATAGACAAGCCAAAATGTTCAGTTTTGGTTAGGCATGATCTGACTGCTCAGAGGCATGCCTATCAGCCAGCTAGCCAATATGTACTCCTGGCCTGTCCTTCTTAGTGTAATGGAAATGGGAGAAGGAAGAAAGGTGAACCAAACAGCTGCCATTCATTTTATCATGTCTGTAGTTTTACATGTTTTCTGTTCATAACTATCTTGGCAATACATTATGGAGGTTTTCCACACACAACTACACACCATTATAGTCTTGTAAACATAAAAAATAAATTAAAATACACATTGATTGATATAAAAAAAAGAAGAATCAGAATAAGGATTTGGAGTAAATACTTAGTGTGACATTAAAGAAAAAAGCCAGGTTTACACGGACAAAAATTAGCATGACAGTTCATTTTCACAGGTTTAAGATTGCTATAATTGTAGTTTAAGATGGCTATAATTATAGCTGCTAAGGCGCTCACTGACATGAGTGTTTAATCCTCAGATATTAAAACAGAAATGTCATCCAGAGTAACCAACATATTTTCGGGACCTGGGGAAGATAAACAGTATCTTGCTAGTCGGCCCCGCTGGCTCTCCAAATACCTGAACAATGCCTGCACCCAATCAGATTGTTCAGGTATTTTGTGAGCCAGCGGGGCCGACTAGCAAGATATAGCTGTATGGCCAGCCTAACACTTCATTTGGTGCGCTCTGGGCACTTTCTCTTTTGGGATAGTGTTAAACAGAGGCGTAACTAGAACCTTCAGGGCCCCGGTGCAAGAAGCCATGAAGGCACCCCAAACGCCATGGCACCGCATGGTTTACAGGAAGGCTGCCGAGGTCCCCTGCAAGCGCAGGACCTCAGGTAGCCGCTTGTTTAACATTTTAGTGCCGGTGTTCTGTCGAGAACGCTGACCCAGTATCTGTGCTTGCGTACAGACGGGATTACTGAGGAAACCGGCATTTATTTACAAAGTATTCGTTTGTAATGGTTAATTGTGACTGTTAATAATATGCCATCCATGGCAGTGAATGATGGATGGAATATTATTAACGGTCACAATTAACAATTTAAACAAAATACTTTGTGACTAAATCACATGCAGAATACCACCAGCTATGTGGGACTACAAGTCCCAGCCATACATTATAATAAGTCAGCTATGCAGAATACAACCAGCACACCCTCCCCCCCCACACTATAATGCATTGCTGGGACTTGTAGTCCTACATAGTTGGAGCTATTCTGCATTGCTGTATAATCATCATACATCAATGCAGAATACCACCAGCTATGTGGGACTACAAGTCCCAGC